GATATAGTGAGATGAACACCTGCATCTCTGAGTAAAATTAGTTTTATTCAATGCCTCACCTCAGCAGTGTTCTTTTGCTGACTTACCCAGAGATCTGGGTTACTTCCTTAAATTTCTTCTGAGTAGACAGACATTGATTGTCCCAAGGCAGTGTGGGAGAGAGACAACAGAAATAATGTAAAACTTCCTTTCTCCCACCTGTTCTTTCACTGTGTCCTCTAACTGTGCTCCACCTCAGACTGTGGCTACCTTCTTAGCCTTGCCCCACACATCATTGTTTTAAGATAGCTTTCAGGGGCGCCTGGGTGGTTCAGTTGGTTAAGCGTCCAACTTTAGCCCAGGTCATGATCTCACAGTTCATGAGTGTCATCCCCGTGTGAGGCTCTGCTGACAGCTCAGAGCCTAGAGCCTCCTTCAGATTCTGTCTCACTCTCTCTCAAAAATAAACAAACATTTAAAAAAACCACACAGCTTTCAGCTCCCTCAGTTTTCAAAATTTGTCTTAGTTCTTAAAATACGTTTCCCTTTTATAATTTAAAGGAATTAGCAACTAATGGTAGTTCATCACTGTAAAAGGATTCAGTGTTATATTATAATTTCCATTCACAATACTTGTAAAGAAAAATCTCTGCTGTATTTATGGTTATTTTCTCTTTTTTATTCTGTATTTTGCTCACTTGTGTCTTTTCATTTTGCTTGGTCAGTTTTGCTAACAGTTTAATTCTACCATTGATCTTATTAAAGAACAGGTTCTGGTCTTGTGAATTTAATGAATTTTTTTATTGTTATATACTTCACTTATTCTTGTTTCTCTTGGTTTTGTTTTTTTTTCAACACTTCTTAAATCGAATGTTTAACTCATTTGTTTTTAATATTCTTATTTTATGACAAATATATTTGTCATTTAATTTCCATCATTTCATCATTAATTCAAGGGTAATTTAGTAATAACTTACTTAGTTTCAAAATGTCTTAAAGCTATTCTGTATTTTCTAAACTTGATTTAATCAATTTGTGGTTGGAAAGCATAGTCTGTAGAGTACTGGTCCTTTGAAACTATTAGGGCTTCCTTTGTTACTTAATACATGGCTTATTTTTATACATATTCTACATATGCTTAAAAAGAACTGGGGTGTCTGACTGGCTTGGTCAGAAGAGCATGTGACTTCCCACATTGGGTGTAGAGATTACTTAAGTAAATTAATTAAAAATATAATGGTGAACTATTCATCAAATGGAGTTATTTACATATCTACGGGCTTGATCTGGTTTATTGTATTGTTTACAAATTTTATATCTTATTTTTTGTCTGCTTCAACTATTACTTTCTTAGAGATGTGTGTTGTAAAATCATCCTTTTCATTTATTGACTTATGAACCTACTCATTTCTGTCAGTTGTCGCTTACATTTGTCAATATATTTTGCTATCAAGATATATATTTCAGGGGTACCTACATGGTGGCCTAGTCAGTTGAGCATCCAACTCTGGATTTTAGTTCAGGTCATGATCATAGAATTGTGAGATTGAGCCCCACATTGGGCTCCATGCTGACTGTGGAACCTGTTTGAGATTCTCTCTCTCCCTCTGCCCCTCTCTCCTGCTCATGCTCACATTCTCTCTCTTAAATATATATATGTTAATATGCTCTAATATATTAATATATGTATATTAATATGCTCTAATTTCTTTTTGGTCTCCCTTTTATCCCTTTATCTATGCTGTTGTTATTTTCTGTGCATCAGTTTCTTTATCTGTAGTAATTCTTACTAGTTGCTAACAGTAAACGAGTTACTATTTGTAAAACACTTGAATAGTGTTTGGCATATGGTAGTATATAAGTAGTTAGTATAACAATGAGTAGAAGTGGTAATTAAAGCCATGGGCATGGCTGAAATTATTTGAAAAAGCATGAAAGCTTGAGAAAATGAGGATCAATGATCAAGAATTAAGAAACTCTTTTATTTAATGGCTGAGAAGGGAGGCATGAACCTCCAAAAAAAAGACTGCATAGTAGACAAAAAAGTAGGAGGAAAACTGAGAATGTATATTCCCAGTGGCACCAGGAGTGAAGGAATAATTAATAATACTGCTGATAATGTATACAATTGTCAAACCACTATTTTGTGCACCTGAAACTAATGTAACATTGTGTGTTAAGTATACTTGGATAAAAATAATGATGAAAGAAGCTTAAGATGAAAAGAAAAATAGTGCTGCTGAGTACAGATCTGAACAAATTGTGAGAAAAACAGCATTAATTGCAACAGTTGATTGAGGGGCTTAATGAGTACAGTGGGCGCTGTGATGTAGCTCCAGGAACTCCCTTGAGGAATAAAGGTCTTATTCCCCAAGTTGCTGGGAATGTTGCCAGCAGACATGTCTCAGCTATCAACCTCCTTGAGTAATTGCCTTGACTAAGGAGATCCTCCTTGCCTCAGGTCATACACTTCCTTGGCAAAGCCTGCATTCCTACTGGGGAGAACTTTGAACGTGCATTGCATTTTAGAGCTCTTTGTGGGATGAGCTAAGGCCTTTGTTGACACAGGGCATCACAACCTAACTTCTCCCTATTCCTATTTTTTTTTTTAGTTTATCTATTTATTTTGAGATACACACACGCGCGTGCGCGCGCGCGCACACACACACACACACACACACACACGGGGCAGAGATAGAGAATCCCAAGCAGGCTCCTCACAGTCAGCACAGAGCCTAATGTGGGCTCAAACCCATGAACCATGAGATCATGACCTGAAGTGAAATCAAGAGTTGGCCCCTTAACCAACTGTGCCACCTAGATGCCCCCCCCCGCCAAATTTTTTAAAGTTCATTTATTTATTTTGAGAAAGACAGAGACAGTGTGGGGGGGGGGGGGCTGTTTTCGAGAGAATCCCAAGCAGACTCCCCGCTGCCAGCACACAGCCTGATGGGGCTCAAACTCATGAAACTGTGAGATCATGCTCTGAGTAAAATCAAGAGTCAGATGCTTAAGGGACTGAGCCATCCAGGTGCCTCTCCCTCCTTCCAATTTTACTTCTTTTTTCTCCTTTCCCCATTTCCTGATCCCTAATAAACTTCCGGCAGACCAAAGAATTTTGCTTCCCAGGCAACTCAATTGGTGACAATGAATTTCATTGATTGAAAGTGATGATGGATAAGGGGATAACTGAGAATGCAAAAAGTAAGAAATAAATGATAAAAACACGGAAGAAGCCAAGAATGGGCAACCTATTCAAATAATTTGCTTTCATCGATATGAGGATGACTGAAATCAAGGCAGTATAAACGGTTCATCACGCTGCCCCCTCTTCAGTATGGGAGATATTTGACTGAAAGATAAAAGCCCGTTAGACATACTGGATTCTGTATCACTGAAACTAACCTTTAACAAAATGTAACAGCAGTTAGAAAGCATTGCTTTCTGTTAATGGATCAGGACATTAAATTCCTTAATCTGTATTAGCTCATTAAGGAGTTAGGGGAATGACTAACCTGCATTTTTAAAAGACGAACAGAAACCTTTGAATTGGCCACCTTATGTCTGTCTTGTAAATATGAACAGTCATATGAACCAGTTTACATTTTTATTGCCTATACCTGATAAAACGATCCTCTAAACCCCTCCTCCGACAACTTCTTTCTAGCCCCAGCTGAACTAGAACGTCTTTACTCTTTATCCCAGAGACTTAACCTGTTTCTCAAGTAAGTTATTTAACAACAGGAATAAAGAGACTCCTGAAAAGTTTTTCTCTGGAACCAAATGAAGGTGCAGAAAAGCAAAACAAAAACAAAACAAAAACCTATATGGGAAGTGAAACTTTTAAAGAATTAACTACTTAACTGTATGTCCATAAATAATAATTTTGACCGAGTCATGAACGTGTGGTGGAGGTAAAGGTTAGGTTAAGAGTAGAGGCAGAGCTTCAAGAAAGAGGAAAAAAAAAAAAAAAACACGATAAACTCCAGGAAGGAGCTATAAATACGCCGCTCGCTACCGGCAGGCGTCTAAAAGGTTCGCACACCACCAGTGCGTGGCGACTCCAAAACAGCCCTCCGACGTCTTTGACAGCACTGGCAGGAAAGAAGAACTTAACTAGCGACGAACACAAAGGCAGAAAATTTATGATTGACCCCGGAAACATTTTATTTTGCGTAGGTATCCTGAGAATATTCTTCTGTGATTCGTTACTTCATCCGGAAGGAGAGCTAGCGAACGTCACTTGCGATTGGATTGTTTTACAAAGGCGGCGCTTTAGCGAGCCAGTCACTTTGGCAACCGGATGTGACGATCGCGGAAGCCGCTGACTGAGCTTTGCCGGGCTGGCAGCTTCGGTGGGCGGGGTCAGCCGAGCGCGTCCGGCGCGAGCTTCTCCTCAGACCCGACAGTGCCGAGGGCGGCGCCATTAAGGCCACGCCTCCGACGCTGACTCCGGTGGCTCGGGAGCGGTGCCGTAGGCTCGCGGGGGTGGAGACTCGGGCGGCTCCTCTCAAAGCCTAGGTCCCGAGCGGCGTCGTCCGCCGCTTCGATCCTTCCGGTTTCTGGTGACTGCGTCGTCTCCTTCCAAAGGCTGGGTATACGCCCCCCTCTGTAGCCTGCCGTCGACCTCTTTTCGGCATCGAAACCCGTCCGAGTTGCTCCGGGACACCAGCAGCCCAACATTCTCTCGCTCTGGTTCTCGCCCCCTGGAGGACCTCGGCCCCCCATTGCCCACTTTCCTGGATGTGCTGGTCCCTCCCACCCCCCCTAAAATGTCCAATAACCTACGGAGGGTCTTCCTGAAACCTGCAGAGGAAAAGTCAGGCAACGCCTCGAAGTGGTAAGTACCGGTTTCGAATCTCGCTCGACAACACCCGCCCCTTGCCCGTCTCTTAGCAGGGTGTCGAGTCGGCCGTCGTTTTCGGACTCTGCGAGTCAAATGAGCTTGACTCCGTAGTGGGAGCGACTGCGGGCCAAGTGCTCGTCACTGGGGGCACCCAGAACCCCCAGAGCGCGCTCCTCTTGGAAACGTAAAGTCTCTTCTTCAGAGCCTGACGCAGGCACGCCTCGGCCGTGGCTCCTCAGGACTCCATCGTCTCAAGTTACGTAGGCGACATAGTAGATCTCCACGGGAGAGGAAATTCAACATGGCCGACGCTCCTATGTGACCAAAACCTTCTGGAAGATTCTTGCGCACTCGCAGAAAAACACGCAGCGCCCAGCACGGTTTAGCAATTGCAACCCAGGTGGCGCTGGACCATCCGTGAAAAGTAGCTAGTGTTTAAGAGAACGAGAAGGAAAGGAAAAAAAATTGTGTAGTTGATGAGTATATGAATTTAGAAACTGAAAAGTGGATCTGGAATGAAGGAATGGATTTTTCACAATTCAGATAATAGTTTTGTATGGCGAGAAAGAAAAGTAGAGAGAGTAATTTTCGTGTAAAATCGATCCTTTGGGACAGAGTGATTGAAGCAGGTGTAATGAGAATGCCATCTCTAATTGGATGTCTCTGTAGAGGAACTATGTTTGACGTAGGGAGATTCTAGTATTTCTGAAGACGTTCGTAGTTGCACATTTACAAAATAGTTTTTCACTGACTCAGTTTTTTTTTTTTTAAGAAAAGGTTATGTTGGTCAAGATGAAGTGAAATGAGAACAAAATTGTTAGCGAAGATCGAATATTTTAAGTCGTAGACTCCATAGTTAGTAGACGTATAATAAGTGGTGAGAAAAAACTTACGGGTCTCTGCAGAAGAAAAGTGTAAAGAAAGCATGGAAATTGAGATATAAAATTCACGGAAGACGATATGTGTTTGAAGAACATCCGGCCGCCTAAATTTAATCATAACTTTGACAGTTACTAGTTGTAAGACTAAGTACCTTCTTTCCAGTCTCCTTTCCAGTAAAAGCACTTAGAGATATTTTAAGAATTAAAAAAATAAGTGTATGTGAAATACTTGGTATAGGAAAACAGAAAATCACTATTTATACGTTTAGCTATTATTATTATAAGATTACAAGTTTGTGTCTGTACAAATTTTATCCCAGGAAGTAGGTTTCTTTTAATCACAAGGAGATACAACACAGAATTATAATAACGACTGAAAAGCATGCCCAATATTCTAAGAAGAAATAACTAAGCACCTTGAGCTAAAACAGTATTGAAGAACTGCGAAGAAAGAACCACTGTGTTTCAAATAGTAAAAAGAGCCAGCTTGTGTGTACGTATATTGTTTGTTGGTTTACTTTTGTTGGAAGCTGGGGGAGAGGCAGAGGTCTTGCTCTGTATAGATAATTCAAAAGTAGAATTACTTTCTAATGATGGTTCCTTTCTTCTCCCTTGTTTTGGTACCTGGATATTTGATTACATCTGACTTACCCTAACTTAACGCATTGTTTTTCAAAATTAGAAATAAGAGTAAGAACTTAACGTTTTTATTACTTGTGTGTTTTAACTCTTTTATCCGGTTTCTCAACCTTTGGCTATCTATATTTGGGATTTTTTAAAACATTACAAATTGAATTATGTTTTGGTTATATTCATAAGTCATTGGGGGTTCATTTACTCATTGGTTTATGCATTGTTTTCATCATCTTTAAATGCATTTATTTCTTCAATCACCGGGGTTTGACATCACATATTTGGGACATTTACCAGATCCCTTTCTGAAGCTATTTGATTCTTATTTTGGTTATTGCTTTGCATTCTGTTCTGCTTTGTAAGTAACAATTTGCATGCTGTACAAGTATAATTTTATAAATCATTTGATTTCTGTTAGCTCTTGAATTTATTGGAAGCTTAGTTTTCATACTTCTCTGGTAATATTTTTGATGGTACTGAATCATTATCTTCATTAACTTAAAATGAGTATATGGTTTTCTTATTTTCTATTGATACTTGGATTTTTCTTGAGTTACTGCTGCTTTTGTAGAGTTTTTCAACATTGCGTTACAGAATGTTTATTGCTTAACGTATTTCCAAATTTACTCTTAGAGTATAAAGGAAAAATCTGGAAGATATTTGTGATAGTAGGCATTAAGCTTATTTAGATTGGGGCTTTATTTACAAAGAGCAAAACAAGAGTTTGAATGGTATAAGTATAAGGAATGTAAACTTTGGAGTTACAGCGACCTAGGTTTATGTCCTAGTTTTACCATTATTATCCGTATAAGTTCAGACATTTTGTTGAAAAATACTCACTGAGTGCCTGCTACGGGATAGACTGTGTTAAATGGAGAGACTGACTAAAGAAGAGGATATGAACCATGCCCATGAAAACCCGCATAGTTTAGGGGAAGATGATGTAATACATTTTAAAATAGCATTCTGCACAGGATGCTGTCAGGGCTTAGAGAAAGGAAATTGTAGAAAAGGTTTTGGGGGAGCACCTGAGTTAGGGAATGTAAATAACAGCTTCCCAGTTAACGATGAATGCAGGCTGTGCCCAAGCAGAGGGAATTGGTAAATAAAGCGCCAGTATGGTTTATTATTAGCTATTGGTATTTTTGTTTGATTCTCTACTATAAGCAGGATAAATAGCTCATAAGTTCTTGGTTTGCTCTGCTAAGTAGAGTAGGCTTCATCTACTGGAGATGACTAAAGATTTTAAGAAAAGGATTGTCACTTCCCATGTGCATTTTAGATAACTGATGGCGGTGTGGATTTGGGAACGAGGGATCAGGCGTATAAAGATTCTACTTAAGTTGTCCTTTCAGAGATTCTGAAGGCCTGAACTAGCTGATATAGAATAAGGGTTGGATTCAGAGAAATATGAAAGGGAAAATAGGCACGGGAAATCAATTATAATGTCAGTTCTCTCGATAGATATTGGTAAGTTAATGGAGATGGGGAACACTCCAAAAAAATGATCGCAGAGGTATTTGAATTTGAAACTGAGGCAGAGTCAGAGCTGAAAATAGAGACTTGAGTCATCTGCTTAGATAATAAAAGCCTGTAATAAAAGCCTGTGATTATACACCTCTCAATAATAAGAGCTGGGATATGACTGGCAATTGGCTTCTGTCTGCTCTTAATCCTTTGTTCTTAAAAGGGGAGCTACAATGAGTGTCCTCAGCAGCAGGCTTGATTTAGTTAGAAACGTAATGTTTCATTGTTAGTTTATTATGCATTTAGTTTTGTACCTTGTAAGTGTTCTTCTCTTTACTATTTGGGTGTGTAAGAAAAAGACATCGACGTGTATACCTTACAGGCTAACTGAAATCTGTTTGTCATTAATCTCTCACTTCATGCAGTTGAATTTTTTGGACCCTGTTATGTTGGCTTTATGTTAAAATAAATACAAGAAAATACATAGATGGGATTGCCCATGGGAGCATGTAATTCTGCATAAGTTATTTAATATTACCAAACCTCAAACTACAAAATGGTAATGGCAATACTCACATTACTGGGCTGTTTGTTAGGATTAGAGTTAATGACAACTATTTATAATAATGTATCTATTATGTATATAATATTATATGGTATATAGTATTGTATATATTGTCACATTATGTATATTGTATACGTACATAATGTTAAATCATAGATAGTAAGATGGAAGAAAAGGTCTTTTAGCTGTTGAAAAAATACATTTTGCAAATATATCTGCAAAATGTTCAATAGCCTGTGAAATTTTTATCATTCCATTTCTTACTTGTGAATGTTTTATGTTGATATTAGAATTTTTTAAAGTGTCAGAACTTATATAAGTATGTTTAATATACTTTTAAATTAAAGTTCTCATACCTTTTTATTAAAGTTCTTACATTGTCAAAAATTATCTGATTCACTTACTTATTCTTGGACACCAATTGTATATTTTAGTGGAATATGATAACTTGCATTTATTGGGAACTTATCATAATTCCAGCCAATCATTTCATTTGCTTCTTATAGCAAGCTTTATCATCCCCATTTTGCTAATGAAGAAATATATTCAAAGGGTTTAAGTGAATTTCTTAAAATGTATTAACTAATAATTCGAAGAGCCAAGATTAGAAGCCTGTAATTTTTCTCTTGTATTCCTCTTTTACCTTTCAATGTCTTAAACTGTTACTGTTTTTCCAGTGTAGTTTCTCAGTTCAGATACCAATTGATTTAAAGGAATTAACACGTTGATGATTTTTTGAAATCTTTAAGTGAAAAACTAGAGCATGGGATGCAGAATCTGGTTCTAATTTTAGTTCTAACCTTAGCCTGCAGAATATGATTTTTAAGAAAACAGAATCTTTATAAGGTTTTAGTTATAGTTACTCTCATGGAAGATCTCTTCTAGATCTGAAAAAAAAAAGTGTATTGATTAGAGAAGGGTGGATTTCACCCTGATTTATTATTCCTTTCCTTAGCATTTTGCATTTCAGTTTTAATATTTAGAACTTATTCATTTGTTACTAGGAAGTCATGTGTGTGTGTTTATTTTTAATGATGACTTGCAGGAGTTAATTCAGCTAAAATTATTGCTTACAATGTACCAGTTACTCTCTCAGGTGTAGAGGATATACGTGTGAATTGGATAACTTATCCCTAAGGGATTTAAGTCTCTGGTAGATTATGTGAATCTCTGTTGATAAAATGACATAGAACAAACTGTATTTTCCTTCCCCTTTTGAAGGGGAAATGGAAGAGAAGAGTCTAATCAGTGATTAGACTTGAAAATAGTTTGTGTAGTATAAATGTTTTCTGTAAAGCAGAAACCTAGATACCATATAATCAAGTATGTGAATGAAGTATAAGAAGCCTGTGTCATTTGTTTAAAAACTACACTAATTAAAAATGTGCATGCCCATATGCAAATGATTATAAAAGCATAGGTTCTGCTCTTTGAAGCTTTTAATTTGAGAGCTAGATATTACTGATAAGTAAAGTGCATAAATAAGCCAAACAAGACTAAAGGAAAGGTATTAAGACAGTTCAGTTAAAATAGAGATTTGAAAAGGCTACATTATTTTTCATATAATTTTTTGAGGCCCTAATCTACTTGTTATTGGGAGAACAATTACAAAGCAAACGATATAGCCTCTAACTAAGAAAAACAGTATTTTATTCATTTTTTAGAAGGCATTGTATAACTCCTAGCATTAGTTGCACTAGTGGGAGTGGTTTATGGATTTCAAGTTGGAAGAAATTAATGTTTGATTGACTTGCAAATATTTCATGGGGAAGATGAAATTGATCCTCAATTTATAGCTATGTTTTAAATTGCTGGAGAAGAAAAAAAATAACCTGAAGAATACTTGAAGTAAATGCTGTACATGGGATAATCCAGAATGGCAAAGATACCTCTCTGGGAAGATCAGAGTTTTTAAATTTAGAAGTTAGAGATGGTACTGGTGTAGAGATTGGTTATCTAGATTTTAGGTAATTTTCAAGTCAAGCTGAATTGGCAATGATGTATTATTGGAACTTTGAGAAAGGAGGTAACAGGATGAAAACAATGATTTATTCTGCCAGAGATACATAATAGTATTGGCTGCAGTCAGAAAAACTAGTTTAAAAGTCACAGCAAGATACAGGAATGAGATAATGAGGATGAGACAGGTCTTAGGTAATGCATGTCTGATCTAGGTAGTGGAAATGGCAATGAGGAAGAAAGAGAAGAATGAGTAAGAGCTGTAAAAAGGAAAAAAAAAACCTTTACGGATGTAGTGATTCATTCACTATACATTTATTGAATGTTTACACTTTGTAAACATATATACAAGGCACTCTAGGTGAATCAGAGGTAAATAAGGGTGATAAAGGTGTCAAGAATGAGTAGGTGATTTAAAAAACCAAAGTGACTTGGGAGATAATAGTACTGACATGACTAGATGGTAGGATAGAGTAATAGTTTTCAGTAGAGAGTAATTTTTACTTTAAAGTCATGGTTTAAAAAAAAAAGTCATGGCATTAAAAGTGAAAGATCTTGGTAGAGCATAACAAATATGGAACCAAGGCCAATATTAGGGGATAGGAGTAATGGATATAACTGTGAGGCTTATTGAAAGGAGTAGTTGAAGGAAATAGTGCAAGCAATTGACGCAGTTGTTGAAACAGTTGGTATAATATTTAAGGAAGAATGTCTTGAAGGAGAAACAGGGTGAAGAATTGTGCTTTGGGGAATAGTCATAGTTGGATGCTTAAAATGCAGAATAAGAAAGAAAACATTAAGAAAAACAAGCAACTTGTACATAATGGAAATCATGTTAGGTAGCTGTTTATGATGGATAATTAGCTAGC